TTGTCTATGAGTGAGTGGGCTATAATTTTCGTACAGCACATTTTCTGCCTATATAAATGGATTAAATGTCTAACAACTTCATATATTTTTTTATACGACTCGCAATATACCCCTGTATCTTTCAAATAAGCTATTGCCACATCCTAGATACTCGACCAGTCAGAGCCAATAAAGTTTATGCGTTATCATTCCGCTTTTCAAATGATTTATGATAGTCACGATATCTAAAGAATTCTCGAGAAACGCATCTTGTGCTAATGAATACGATGCTTCGTACTCTTATACTTCGTTCTTCCTCTTTCTCCTTATTTTTACCACGACATGCTTAGCACGTCTATCGCAATTTAGCCTGTGTGAAATCCCATCGATAAATCACGTCTGATTCTGGGATAAAGTCGTGGACGCCTCTTGCATCTGCTTAAGTTTTGAAGCAGCATCACAGATCCACACGTAAACAATAATAGTTCACGTCTATATAAATTATTATAAGTATATTATAAATTATATAAAAGATTTTTTTTAAATAAAAGATATTTTAAACTACAAAGATATTTTAATACAGATATGTGAAGAAAATCATATTTAGTTTAGCAGATAAAAGATATTTTAAATTATATAATTATACTCGCTTTAAATTTTAACTTGTAAATATTTCAATTGCACGATTATCTTAATTCTTAAGGAAATATATATATATATATATATTTCTTCGCACATATATATTTTGATAACTTTCTGAAAAACGTATTAATAAAATCATAATCTTTTTTTTTGCGAAAGAAAATAAATTTTCTTTTACTGGCGCGCACGCGATTCTTTTCACTAAAATCTTAATTAATATAGCCATCTATAGATATTAAACACTCAGTTGTGGTTAAAACTGTTTTAAAAGCGACATCAAGCTTTTAAACGGACTCGCTTAGACAGTTTTTCTAGAGAACTGAGTCTTTAATTAATTTTTACGGGTCTCATCGATACGCGCGCTCATTAATCGCGGTGAATATATTTTATTATGGAAGTAAAGTAACGACTCGGCTTACGGAGACAAATGGGCGCCTCACCGCGAGCACGCGAGAAAAAGCAGTTATTAATCTCTGTAGCTACGACGGGATGACGGATGCGCATTAAATATCGCTGGTCAACGGCGATGACTTATACGCGTAGGAGTATCGTTTAAGACGTGTCTTTCGCAGGATTTTCTTCTTTCTCATTCTGAATGCCGAGATTTCTGTAACCGTTTTTGAATTCTCCTGAATGAGAGGGTAAATATATTTGGATTCGCCTTAGGATATACATGGGCTGTTTCTGTTATTATCGCTTAAGACATCGAGGGAGAAAAAGAAAGTTTAGGAGAGAGATTTATATGCAGGGGTTACATCAAATTGAAATGTCTACTTGATAACATGATAAAACCTGTGATAAATGTGATATCTTGAAAAATCTGAAAATGCGTGACGGTAGTACTTTACATCATCATTTAAATAAATTCATCTCCTTAAAAATAAAATAAAAACATATTATCGCATAATTTTTTATGACATAATTTGATTTTTTAAAATTAAAGTAACAAAAATATTTGTCATTTTATATGTTGTCCGGAAAACATAATTTTTTTCATTAAAAAATCTCCATGGATGATAAACAGACAAAAAAGAGGATGACTGTACCAAAACTCAGACAAGTGTCTGTCTCTAAAATGTCTAAAGAGGAATATTATGAAGTATGATTAATTAAGAGAATATTCAAATTGTAATTGTATGTAAGACTATGTAAAAAGGAGATTCTTTGAAGAGAAAAAAATAAGTTTTTCAAGTAATATCAATCCAATAGATCGATTTATAGTTACAGATAAATCTTTCAGTTTAAATTTTTAAGAATAATTATCTTTAATGTATCTCAATTCCATTTTTTTGTACTTGTTAATAATAAAATTATACACATCGTGTAGATATAGAAAATAAAGCAATTTCTGGTTCTCTCATAAAGTCTAAAAGTCTAAAAGAAATGTTTATCCCGTAATGCTTTATACTTTACCTCTTTACTTCTTTCGTTTCTTCTTCTATTTTTCGCGATCAAGTTCAGAATTCTTTATTGAGAATCGTGAGACCAACGATGTATTCTTTTCACCCCCAAGATAGTTTTTGTCGATGGGAATGGGTGAATCGACAGCGAGAGTGAATTGGCGAGAGCGAGAGCGACTGCCATCAGGGTCAATGACTTACAGATTGGTCGGGATTTTAGTTGACTATCCTTACGAAGAAGCTTGTAAAATTTCTAAGACATTTTTTGCTAAGATCTCGAAGAAACGAAAAAGACAGAAAGTTGAAAACAGTGCAAGTATATTGCCTATTATATATATATATATAT